AGGCTGTCACCATCATGGGAACCAGTGTCCGTCAGTGGGTTGGAGTTAATGCCACAATAAATGATGTGCGTCTCCACTCAAGGGGGCAGTGGTGGCTCCGTAGCAGGATCCCTGCCGTCCGTGTGGGAGGAGATTCCGGCCCCGCCCAGTGCCCCCGACAGGAAGCCACCACCTGTCTCTCGGTGGAGGCTGTGTGTTGCTAGGGTGCAGGGAAAAGGAGCCCTGCTGTCACAAAGGTTAAGCACCTGGCTGCAAACCAAAAGGTTGGGGGTTTGAACCCACCAGCTGCTCCCTGGGAGAAAGAGGAGGCACTCTGTTTCCGTAAAGATGGCAGCCTTGGGAACCCTGGGGCCAGTTCTACCCTGTCCTCTAGGGGCGCTGTGCGTGGAGTGACTCCACAGCAGTGGGTAATGCCCTGTAAATGCCAAAGGAAGGCTCCTGGGTGGTGTTTTCCCTGGCAGAGACTTCAGGGAGTGGACTTACCTCCAAAGGACGGAAGTATGCATCAGGGACGTGGACAATGGACATTTTTAAAGGCTTTGTAAAATTCATTACAGAGTCATAGGTGTTTCAGAAAGTTATCATAGAGAAGCAAACACCAACACTGGACTCTCGAGTGACACCGGGACGGCCCTTGGCCACATGGCTTTATGGACGCAGAGAGGCGCGTTTCCAAAGTGCATCTATCCATCTGCCCTGGGGCGGGCTGCTTGCAGACTCTCCTTCCTCACAAATGCGTCCAGGACTCGGGGGAAGCGTTCCCTGCTGTGGGAAGTGGCCCTGGTAATGGGGTAGGAGACGTGCTGCCGGTGGGGGTACTCTGCCGAGGCCACGCATCTTTCCCATAGTGATTCCTCACCCGGCTTGTGACATCTCTGCCTTCAGAGCGCCTGAGCTCTGGTGGTACAGTGGTTAGAGCATTCAGCTGCTAACCAAAAGGTCAGTGGTTCAAACCCACCAGCTGTTCTGTGGGAAAAAGATGAGGCAGTCTGCTTCCATAAAGATTGACAGTCTTGGAAACCCTATGGGGCAATTCTACTCTGTCTTACAGAGATGCTGTGAGTTGGAATTGACTCGACAGCAGTGAGGGTTTTGGGGTCTCCAGGAGCCCTACTGGTGGCAGTGGTTAAGTGCTCGGCTGCTAAGGGAAGGGCTGGTGGTTCGAGCCCCCCTACGGCTCCACAGTCTGCTTGCGTAAAGGTGACAGCGTTGGGAACTCGGTGAGGCAGGTCTGCTCTGTCCTGTTGGGTCACTGTGAGCAGACGCTGAGTCGGGACCGGCTCGAGGGCAGTGCGTTTGGTTTGGGTTTGGTTTCAGGGTGTCTATTCAAGGCCTTCCATCCCCTTCTACAGACCCCACGCCTTTCTCAAGGTTCTCGGGGCGTCGGTCCCCAGGTGTCGCCTCTGGGTGGTTCTGTCATTTATTTCTAAGTGACAGCCTCGTTGGCCAGGGGTCAGTCTGGGTTACCCAGTGCTGCTGGAATAGGAGGACTGCAAGTGGGCGGGTTTAGAGAAGACAAGTTTATTTCCTTACAGGTCAGGAGGCGGGAAGCTGGGGCTCACTCTCGGGGAAGGCTCTGGGTCCGTCTGCTCAGGGGCACCCGTCTCGGCATCTGTAACCTTGACATCCCTGGGCTTCTTGACGGCCTCCACATGCACCCTCTGCCCCCACCTGTACTGCTCGTCTGGGTCTAATCGGCCCTCTTTAGCCTCGGGGGTGATTAGGGTCAAGACACATGCTCCACAGTGATGTGGTGCCATTAATGAATGGAACCCTGTTCACACCTGGGACCGCGTCCTGGGGAGCAGGGGTGAGGGTGCTGCACGGATCTGGGAGGGCACAGTGCAGTGTGTGGCAGTCGAGCGTGTCCTCGCCCACTCCAGCTGGACCTGGCCGCCCAGTACGTGAAGGCCGCGGTGAAGAATGTGCCGTCCGTGTTCCTCATGACGGACTCCCAGGTGGCCGAGGAACAGTTTCTGGTGCTGATCAATGACCTGCTGGCGTCGGGCGAGGTGCCCGGGCTGTTCATGGACGACGAGGTGGATAACATCATTTCCTCCATGCGGCCCCAAGTGAAGTCCCTCGGCCTGTCCGACACTCGGGAGACCTGCTGGAAGTTCTTCATCGACAAAGTGCGGAAGCAGCTGAAGGTAGGCCCGGAGCCCGGCTCGCCGCCCTGTCGCCCTCGAGGTCGTGGGAAGCTCCTGGGTCTTCCCTCCGTGTGGGGTACGGATGTGTGCGTGGATCGCATGGTGGGTTGCCTGCCTGGTGAAGTGGACGAGCAGGGCCACGTGGCGTTGCACCGACCGGCCCTCAGTGACCCCCAGGGCCACGTGGCGTTGCACCGATCGGCTCTCGGTGAGCCCGTGGGTCAGAGCAGAGCTGTGTCCTTGGGGTTTTCTGGGCCTGTTTTCTCAGTAGATCGCCAGGCTGGCTTTCCAGGTGCCTTTGGGTGGGTTTGAACCCCCAGCCTTTCAGTTAGCAGCCGAGTGCTCACTGGGGAGCCCCCAGGCTTCAGTGACCCAAGGGGGATGCCCCACCCCTTCCTTTGCCCCCCTTGTACTGCCCGTTTGTGAGGGGTGTCCACACGTCGGTAACATGCTGTGCAGCCACCTGGAGGCCGCCGGGCCACGCCCTTCCTCCTGAGGGCGCTCCGCCCGTGGATGCAGCTGACTCAGCCGTGCACCTGTGCCCCGCCCCAGGTGATCCTTTGCTTCTCCCCCGTGGGCTCCGTGCTACGAGTACGAGCCAGAAAGTTCCCCGCGGTGGTCAACTGCACGGCCATCAACTGGTTCCATGAGTGGCCCGAAGACGCCCTGGTGTCTGTCAGTGCCCGCTTCCTGGAGGAAACCGAGGGCATCCCGGTGAGTCCCGGGGTGCAGCTCTGCCTGCCGCCGTCTGACGGCGCAGAGCCATGGAGGCAGGCAGTCGGCTGGAGGGGGAGAAGCCTCCCCAGTTGTCTGGCCTTGGGGGCCAGGATTGGAGTGAGGCCCCCACCCAGGTGCAAAATGTAAACTGACTGTTGTCCCACAGTCCCACGGGCGTCAGAGCAGAGCTGTGCTCAGTGAGGTTTCCAAAGGCCGAGTCAGCAGTAGATGATTGCCAGCCCTTTCTTCTGAGGCCTCTCTGGGTGGATTCAAACCGCCAACCTTCCCACTGCAGCCCAACGCATTCACTATGTGTACCACCCTGGGACTGAAGGGGGCCCAAAACCTCAGCAATCCAGAGAAACGAAATTTAATCCAATATTTTTAAAAAACAGATGAATGCTAAGGAATTGACGGTTATCAAATTATCAAAATGGTAAAGCAAGGCAGGCCATCATTGTCGGCTTCTTTCATGACCCTGTGTTACTAGGCAACAGGGACAGCAGTTTGCAGTTGGCTCAGGGTTTCCAGCCCCCTGACAGTGGTGTGCAGACGGGCTGGGCAGGCAGGGCCTCTCATGCAGTCACACCTGCAGACCAGCACTGTACCAGCTTGCATAAGTGTGTGGTGACTGTGCGTGTGCACGTGCATGTGACTGTGAGAGTGTGGGTATATGTGTGAGTGAATGTGTGTGTGCAGGTGTATGAGTTATGTGTATAAGTGTGTAACTGTACATGAGTGTTGTGTGCGACTGCGTGATAACGAGTGTGTGAATTGTGACTGTACATGAGAATGTGTGTAACTACATGTGTATGCATGTGTGACTGTACATGAGTGGTGTGTGTGTGGTTGTATGTGTAACTATGCATGTGTGTGACTGTACATGAGTGTGTGTGTGTGTGTAACTGCATGACTGCATGTGTACGTGTGACTGTGGGACTGTATGTGAGTGTGTGGCTGTACATGAGTGTTGTGTGTGTGTGACTGTGTATGAGTAAGTGTGTGAGCGGACAGTCAGGGAGCTACAGTAACAAGCAGTGCAATGCTCCTGGCCCTGTGCGATGTCCTGTGCTCACGACAGCCTGAGACGTGCTGCTGTCACTAATCCCCTTCTGCAGAGAAGAACCTGGGGCTGAGACGAGTCCCCCATCTGGTCTGGGGTCCCGGGAGGGTGCGGATGCCCTGCGCTGCCAAGTCACTGTGGACCACAGCAGCCTCCTCCTCCCCGGTGCCCCTCTGTGAGGCAGACCAGGCCCCACCCTGTGAGGACGGGCTCATGCAGGCGGGGCCTGGGAGGTAAGCTGGCCCATCTGTCTTTGCAGCAGGAAGTCAAGACCTCCATCACTTTCTTCATGGCCTATGTGCACACAACTGTCAACGACATGTCCAAGGTGTACCTGGCCACCGAGAGACGTTACAACTACACCACCCCCAAAACCTTTCTGGAGCAGATCAAGCTGTACCAGAACCTGCTGGCCAAGAAGAGGGCGGAGCTGGTGGCCAAGATCGAGAGGCTGGAGAATGGCTTGATGAAGCTGCAGAGCACGGCCTCCCAGGTAGGGGGACGGGCGCACGGGCCCCCACACTGCCGCCCTCCCAGGTAGGGGGACGGGCGCACGGGCCCCCACACTGCCGCCCTCCCAGGTAGGGGGACGGGCGCATGGGCCCCCACACTGCCGCCCTCCCAGGTAGGGGGACGGGTGCACGGGCCCCACACTGCCGCCCACCCAGGTAGCGAGACGGGCGCATGGGCCCCCACATTGCCGCCCACCTGCCTAAGCACTAGATGCGTTGGAGTGCCCCCCCTTCTGGAAACTTCCACTCCTGAACCAGAGACAGCCCCTGTGCCTGGGGACGTGCGATTGCCTTGGGAATCAAGTTTTCATGCCTAGGCCACATCATGTCAGGCGTGCCTTAAATGCATTGACTTTCTCTTTTCTTGTACATTTTGTTGTTGTTGACAAATATACACAGCAAAACATCCCCCGGTTCAGCAGCTCCTGCAGGTACCGTCCGTGACAATGACGCCGTTCCCACCCTCCCCTGCTGAGATGCCCCCCTCGGTAACATAGACTCACTGCCCCCTGAGGTTCCTACCTGACTTCTCCAGCTGCTGCTGTCACTTGATCCCATACAGACAAATCTAAAAGGAGCACGGTGCTAAGGCAGACCTTTTTACTAGGTCAGCTAAACTATCATCTGGTTTTAAGAAGGCTTCAGGGGAGATTTTTGGCTGAAGGTTTAAAGATTATCTCTGGGCAATTGTTTCAGGGATTCACCCAGCCTCCATGGCTCCAGAAAGTCTAGCATCCCTGAGAATCTGAAAGTCTGTTCTGCATTTTCCCCCTTTTGGTCAGGATCCTTCTATAGAGTCTTTGATCAAAATGTTCAGTAATGGTAGCCAGGCACCATCCAGTTCTTCTAGCCTCATTCTTGGAGGCAGTTAGCCACACATGCCATTTCCTCCTCCTGTTCCTGACTCTCCTTCTTCCTCCATTGCTCCAGGGGAATAGAGACCAATTGTTGTGCCTTCAGTGGCCATTTGCAACCTTTGAAGACCCCAGGAAGTACACAGCAAACTAGGGGGTACAAGAGAAGCCTTGAACACAGTATTAGGCCAATTAACTGGGATGTCCGTGAACCATGACCCTAAACCTCCAAAAACCTAATGGCCTTTAAGCTATAAAGAGGGCAAATTAGACCCAGATGGAAGCAGCACAAACGGGGGGGGATGCACACGGAGGTCCCCAAGGAGCCCAGGAATGCCGGGGTACAGAGGTGCCCCCAGAGCTGCAGAAAGAGCACCTTCCCCGAGAGCCTGAATTTGGTCTCCTAAACTGTGAGAAATTAATTTTTGTTCATGAAAGCCCCCCACTTGTGTTGCTTGTGACCCAGCAGTGCCTCCTATACCAGAACCAAGATGCCTGCTTTAATGTGCGTACCCTACAATGTGGGTGATCACATTGCTCCTACAGTGTGGGCATCACACAGGGTACCTTACCTGGGAGCCCGCAGCATGGCCTGCTTCCCAGCTCGTCTCACGGGACTGATAGGGCACTTGACATCATGGAGGGTGCAGCTACTCTGAAATGTCACCCACTGTGCCATGCGCAGCTTGGAACAGCACCAGAGAGGCCTGGCGTCGCAGTGCATCGACGTCTAAGTCCTCTGCCTGACTTTCAATACCCTCCCTGAGCTAGTCCCTGCCTCTTGGTCTTTCTTGCCTGTGGCCAGTGTCTCTGAGGGAGCCCGGTGAGTGCCCGTCTCTTCCCTGCCCGAGTTGTGGGCAAACATGGAAG